AACTCTTCTTGGATAAGTGGGAGATTTTATGATTGCAGGAAAAACAACTATATTTTTTGGGTACTATAGCTGCATCAAATATAGAGAGCCAGCATCTCAGCAGGTAGTTCAGAGCATGGCTCCAAAAGCTGGTGAAAATAAGCAATTAAAAGTCTCTTTCTTTTGGATAGTGGTTTTATGATTTATCCATATTTTTTCAATTGTTAATAAATAATGGAAAATACTTTGCTGTGAAAACTAAACTTACATTCACTTCTACTTCCTATGTCTTTAGACACAAATTACTTCTTGTTCACAAGAACTAAACAACTGTTATTAAGGATGGATTTTAAAAAGCCCAAATTTCAATAGATATTAGCATGTACATGTCAAATATGCATTGAACCTCTAACACATTCAATACTTTATTATATATTGTATATGAAGTTTAAGTAAATATTGTATTTGAAGTTTAATAAACACTCTGACAACCTATAATTTATCTGGTCAATGAACGAGATGCATATGATCCAACTAACAATGCAGGATATTATAATCTAGTATTACAGTTAGGTTAATATCATGTTATTGCTACTACCTAAATTTAGAATTTAGTCAAGAGTCATGTAAATGCTTAAATTCCAAGTCATTAGAGCTGCTAGTACTTGTCACGCACTAGAAGATCAATTTCAAATCATACTAATTTTTTAAACCAAAAATGAAAAGAAAACTGTTTCAAGCTGTACCTGAGTACAAAATATATCTAGAAATACTCATGACAGATAAATTTAGAACCAGTAAATGATATTTCTAACCACCGTTATTTCTACAGATACGGGTAGAGATTTATGGTTAATCTGTTTTCCAGTTCAAAGCAAAGGGGAAATTTAAAATTGGAATCATATAATATGTCTTGATCAACTAAGATAACAGTCCAAGAACATCCATTACATTTTCCTCTATTATAGTCAAACAGGATTTGCTGATATGATTTCCTTATCCCTGGCCTTTTCCTATACAACAAAGGAATTGCATAGATAATTTTGGCAAGCCCATCCCACTCCATCACCCCAGAAAATTTCTGAATAACCAAGATGAAAATGACAAAATCAAAATTTTTTCTGTATTAAGCATATGTGAATTTTTGCCAACCCTTAATTTCACTTAAGCTGTGATGACAGGCTATTAAAACACATACTCAAGAATAGCAATACGAAAAATATGCAAGACCAAGAAAGTCACAGTACTTCACCCTAAGGTTCCTCACTTATTCCAATGTAAGGAAATATTTAATGTATAAAACTCACAGTCTGGAGACAAAACACTTAATTTAGTATTCACATTTTAGAAGTGTGCTACCTTATTTCCTTCTCAGGAATCCATTTTAGGTTTTAAAGTGAATTCCTTCAGTATATTTAAGTTGATCTGATTCACATACAGGCTTTTAAGAATTGTATAGGGTTTAAATAGAATGACACTTTCAATAGCTATTTAGTCCAATTCTACTCAAATAACCTCTCCTGCTATGTATCTATAGTTCAAGAGGTAGCTGGAGTGAGCAGACTGTCTCTACTCTCCTAAATCCCAAAACAATTCCCAATTTTCCCTTTCACAATGAGTTGGAAAACTTGCTGAAAGAAAAGACAGTATCATATAAAAGTTACCCTGGAGGTAGTCTTCGCTTCTCCCAATAAGAATCCTCCAGCGACCTGCAAATTTACATTCCAAAACCCAGTGACACAACTACCAATAGAGTTGTATTCCTCATCAATCTTTGTCTTTAACAAGGAAACTTTAAGTTAATTGGGGGATTATTGAAAGTCTCCTTGTAAATCCATGAAAGCCACTTCACAGACTATATAGAAAACAGTTTTATGAACAGTACAGTGGAGCCAACTCATCTTTTTGAAAAGCTTAGCATCAGCCTCAGAGAGCACTTAAATTGTTCCAATTCAAAAATCTCTTCAACCATAGTAAGATGATGCTTATGCCACTATGTCTACAGCACACACATGCACAGAAGCAAGTTTCCTCTGCAGAGAGGAGCTGTATTGAAAATCAGAAATTAACTCTGTATTTCAATTAAATAATGTATTTTTCCAAACCATTCTGAAATATTTTATCCTCACTGATATTCCTGAAGCAAGTACCCATTTAAAATAAAACACCCAGATAAATACTAAGGACACAAATAAAGTATAATTTCTAGCAAAACAGTCAAATACAAATTAAAGGAACACTGAAGATCCCAGCAGATTTCAATATCCTGTTAATTAAAAAAAAAAAAATGATTACTAGAAAAAAAAAAAAAAA